CTGGCTTTCAGTACTGTTAAAGCAGTGGGGCATTGCTGCGCTATTCACAGTAGCCAAAAGGTGGAGACAACCCACATGTGCATCAACAGATAAACAAATGGATAAACAAGTTGTGATCTATCCATACATGGGAATATTGTTCAGCCATAAAAAGGCATGAAGTACTGATACATGTTACAGCATGGCTGAATCTCAAAAACTTGATGGTGAGTGAAAGCCTACAAGAGGTTACATATTGAATCATTGCATTTATATGAAATATCTAGACTAGGTAAATCCGTCAAAAAAGAATGCAGATTGGTGCTTGCCAGGGACAGGGGAAAGGGAAATAGGGAGTAACTGTTTAATGCGTTCAGAGTTTTATTTCAGAATGATCCAAGTGTTTAGGACCTAGATAAAAGTGGGAGTTGCACAACGATGTCAATGTACTAAATGCAACTGGATTGTTTTCTTTAAAATGGCTAATTTATGTTATGTGAATTTCACCTCAAAAAAAAAAAATAGCGGGAGGCAGCTTCCTCAGTGATGTAGAGGAAGTAGAATCTATGGCAGTTAAGTAAAAATAGAGTATAAGTGATTGGGGGCTGACTTGTGGTTTCTTATCCAGAATGTACCCAAGTCAAGGAAGCTGAAATTTAGGGGAATTCCCTGGCGGTCCAGTGGCGAGGACTCTGCGCTTCCACTGCAGGGGGCGCAGTTCCATCCCCAGTCGGGGAACTAAGATTCCCACATGCTGTGATGCAGCCAAAGAAAGAAAAAAAAGGAGAGCTGTTCCTGGGTGGTGCGTGGGGCCGGCGGCCGACAGCTGCCCCTGCCGCCACCAACATGGAGAGTTTGTACCGCGTCGTGTTCTTAGTGCTCGAATGTCCCAACCTGAAGCTGAAGAAGCCGCCCTGGGTGCACATGCCGTCGGCCATGACGATGTGCGCTCTGGTGGTGGTGTCTTACTTCCTCATCGCCGGAGGAATCGTTTATGATGTTACTGTCGGACCTCCAAGTTGGGCTCCTTGATTGATGAACGTGGGCATCAGAGAACGTGGCCTACAGAGTAAATGGACAAGATATTATGGAAGGACTCCCATCCAGCTTCTTGTTTACAATGGGAGGTTTAGGTTTCATAATCCTGGACCGATCCAATGCATCAAACATTCCCAGACTCAGTAGATTTCTCCTTCTATTCATTGGATTCGTCTGTGTCCTATTGAGTTTTTTCATGGCTAGAGTATTCATGAGAATGGAACTGCCGGGCTATCTGATGGGTTAGAGTGCCTTTTGAGAAGAAATCGGTGGATACTGAATTTGCTCCTGTTAATGAAGTTTTCAAGGCTGTACCAGTCCTCTGATATGAAATATGGAAAAGGATGAAAAGCAGCAGAAAAGAAACATCTAGTGAAAATACAGGAAGCGTATTATAGCTTGGACTAGAATGCGTTCTTGGTATCAAAGAGACAAGCTTATCAGCATTTTTTCCTGCTGGCCTGTACTGACACACCAACGATGTTAAGTGGCATTTTCTTCTTTTTTTAATTTCTTAAAGAAAATATACTTCATTTCTACAACTATAATATTGAATAAAATGATTATTTTTTACAAACCCCTTGACATTTTTTGGAGATGACATTTCTGACCTTCAGAAATTAATGTAAAATCAGGAAGTGAGATCCCATAAACTGAGAACTCTGGACAGCTGATCAGCTTTACCTGTGGTGCTTTGCCTTTAAACAGAGTGTGTGACAGTACATCATTTCAGATATGTATGTAAGACTGTTTCCTGAACAATAAGATGTATGAAAGGAAAAGAAAGAAATAATTTTTCTAATAAAAGAAAAAAGGCAGCTGAAATTTCGACCTTCAGTGCAACTTGGTTTGTGAATCTAAACAATTTTTTTTAAAGTATCAACATTAGTTTTGAGAGCTGTACAATGTTTTGGAGTAAATCTTTTTAACTTTCTCTTCTGTTTGACCTCCAGTTTAGGAGAATCGTGTTACCTTGGATTGCCTAGTGGGATAAAAATAGAAAGTAGAGGTGATCTAGTCACCTAGTTTTTATAGTGTTTTCTGCTTTCAATCCAATTTAGGATTAAGGGATTAAAAAACTATTTTGCTGCTGTTTATGATATGAAATAGAATCTCTATGCAAGATTATGTTATTAGAGAAAAGTTGTTAGAAGCCCAAATATTCAAAAACAAAAGAATTTGAATTAGTACTGACAACCAATGGAATGTTGCGCAGTCATTAAAAATAACACTTATGGAGAGGTTTTAATGCCAAATTTATAATACCGAGCAGCTAAGATGAGATAATCGTAAGTGATCAAATACAGAATAAAAAATATGTGCGATCAACTGTGTTAAAAAAACATAACCTGTTTGACGGAGAAAAAAAAAAAGACGGGAAAATTTAACAGTAGTTTTTGTTGGGTGACAGGAATATGAGTTATCTTGTCTGCTTCTACTTTTTGCATTCTCCAAATGTATCCTAGTAAACACAGTTATTATAAAAATGGCTTCCATTTGTCAAGCGCTTCCTCTGTGCCAGGCAGTGTGACATCTCTCTGTTTATTCCCCCAACAGTCCTTGGAGAGTGGTGCTGTTATTAGCCCAATTTCACAGGTTAAGGAATCGAGGCTTAAGAAGTAAAAGACCTCACCCCAGGTCAGGAAGCTGGTTGGTGGCACATTCCAACATAAGGAGTCCAATTTCCCATCCATGTCTTAACCACTGTACGTGCAAAACACATAATGAATGTTAGAGATATGCAGTGTGTATTCACCTAGAGGAATGCGGTTGGGTGAGTGGACCATTGAATTAGTAGCCGGGGGACTTTGTTTCTGGACCTACTCTTGACTCACTCTGTGATTGAAATTAAGTCAATTTGCTTTTGCTCTTAGTTTCTCCACCTTTATAGTAAAGAAAATAAAACCTTTCATGTGCCTGATTCTTTATGCTTATGAACCTGCTTATGTACTTGTAATAAACACATGTTTATGGTGTTATGACCATTAGCTGGGGATAGTTTGGTTTTCTTAAAAAAAATAAAAATAAAAAGTGCCTGGGTTTAAGGATTATGCAGATCCAGGTTCAAGTCCTTTGGACACTCAAACTCCCTGAGCCTCAGTTTCCACAACTGCAAAATGGGGACAGAACTCTGTACCTTGAGGGTTGCAAGGAGGTGTAAATAAGGTTGCCCGTGCGAGACAGTTACTACTCAGTACCTATGCCCTCCCTCCTTTGCTCCATCATAGCTCACCTGATCCAGCTTGGGGTAGAGAATAATGAGACCTATTTATGTTTCTTGTAAATGTTTTGCACATTTTAATACAATGAAATTAACAGGGGTACATTGTCAGCACACAGACCTGGGTAGAGGGAAGCAGGTAAACCAAAATAGAGTGATCTTGGTAGGAATGAGGGCAGAGGACACTCTTTTGGTCTCACTTCTAGACTCGTGGAAACTTCCAGAATGCAAGAAAACACCCCACTGAACGGTGGAGGGCACATGCTTCCTTAACCTTTCACACACTTTTAACCTTTAACCCACCCTGGAGAGAGCAAGTCAGTCCTCTGATGGGTTCAATTCAGTATTTGGGTGAAATCTGTACTGGGAAATTTATTGATTTATATATTTCTAGAAATATAAACATGTGTTCTGTTTTTGCCAAAAAAACCCCAAATCTATACCTACATCTATAACTATAAAACAATAATAGATCAAAGGTGCTCATGTCAGATACCGTGACGGATTGTTTGGGGACAAAGCTCTTTTTAGTAAAGTTGAGAATGGATAGGAGCTTGGGGGACCAAAGTTAGTTCTAGATTAGAGACTGTAGCACATAATAAAGAAGAAAGAGGTAATGGCACTCCTTAAACCAACAGCAATAGCTGGCATTTGTTGAGCACTTACTCTGTGCCAGGCTTTAAGTCTTTTTTTTTTTTTTGCGGTACGCGGGCCTCTCACTGTTGCGGTCTCTCCCGTTGCGGAGCACAGGCTCCGGACGCGCAGGCTCAGTGGCCATGGCTCACGGGCCCAGCCGCTCCGCGGCATGTGGGATCTTTCCGGACCGGGGCACGAACCCGCGTCCCCTGCATCGGCAGGCGGACTCTCAACCACTGCGCCACCGGGGAAGCCGCAGGCTTTAAGTCTTTGTGCTCCTCCCCATTGATATATTTTTCTTTTCATAAATATTTTTTAGTGTAACCGTAGCACAGACATACAAAGAAAATGTCTAGCTTAGCTTAATGCATTACTTTAAGGCAAATATTCTTGTCCCTACTGCCCAGGTCAAGTTTTATCAATTCCTGCTTCATCTATTTGAAGCTACAGCATTAGGTGCACAAACAATTAGGATTGCTCTGTCGTTATGAAATGTCAAGAGAAGTGGTAGGTGAGCTAAGGCGTAGAGTCCCTCCTGTGCCATATCTATCTCTGGCAATAGACTTCCGGGAAATGAAGTTTGTCATTGGAATGTGCCCTCTTCATGGGCACATGCGTAATGGCTGCTCAATCAAGGTGAACACTTGTAGTAGGAATTCCTCTGCATTCCTCCTGTCAGCATCAGTTCCTCCATGTATCATGTCGGGGAGATGGTGTAGGGCCATGGGCTTTGAGAATGGACCTTGAATTTAGACAGGTCAGCCACTTACGTCTCCGTGTAGTTTGGGCAATTCACTTAACCTCCCTAAGCTGCTATCTTCCCTCTTATAAAAAGAATGTTAGGAGTGCTAGGGCTGCATCACTGATGCTGTGGCTATACGAGGATTAAATTTAAAAATATTTCGGTGGAATCCACAATACAGTACTTGGTATATACTAAACATCCAAGAAATGTTAGGTAATACTGTACCATTGCTGTCTTGTTAACATCACCTCACTTGAACCAAGGTTCAGTTGAACACACTTTGTATATATTAGATCCCCCCTACCTTGGGCCAATGATTGTACAGTACAGTGAGTAGATGCTAATTGACCCTGATTCCTGAGGTCTTCCCCTTTCTTACAGCACAGGTGTGCCTTGGAGTCATTGTGTTCCTGATCATATACAACTACTGGTTCCTCTACATCCCTTATTTGACATGGCTTTACTTTGACTGGCAAACCCCAGAGCAAGGAGGCAGGAGATCCGACTGGGTCAGAAGCTGGACCATTTGGAGGTACTTTAAGGACTATTTTCCAATTCATGTGAGTAGAATTGTTTTATATAGTATGGTTTTAAGCTGGGAAAAAAATTCAAATGTGTTTTTATCACATATTTTTCAAGCTTTTCCCTTTTTAGAGGGAGAGAGCCTGCAGTTCAGCCCAAGTTACTAAACGGAGTCTAACCTAAATTGACAAAAGTTAGAAGGCTGTGTATGAGGGGCTCTGGGTTCAGGAAACAGTTTAAAAATTTGGAAATAGCTCTACCCCAGGAAACGAAAATGAGTCGTGTTCTTCATTTCCTCTTGAACATAGAACTAATTCTGAGTCCTTCTGTTTCTTATTGGAAACTAATCATGGAACATTTTATTTATGTCAATATAAATGCACTGTAGCTCATCAAAACTTGGGATTTGAATCCAAGTCACAACTACATATTTGGGTTTCACCCCCATGGAGTGCTTGTTGCTGGAGCCTTTGGAAACTTTTGTACAAATTATTCAAACTTCAAGGAGCTGTTTCCTGGCCTTACTGCGTATCTTCACGTGCTTCCATTTTGGTTCCGGTGTCCGCTCTTCCGAGAATATCTGATGAGTAGTGGTAAGTGAAGGCAGATCACTGTTTCTCTAGGGTTCTGGGTGGGCAGGACCACATAGAATGTCCCCTCCCAAACCAGCTGTGTTTACAATTTCTTAGAGTAAAACTCTAAGGAGATGGATTTGGGAGAACTCAGCACACATAAGTGGGGTTTGAATCCATGCGCCACGTGTAGAGATAAGGTTAAAGACAACAGGGACGAAAAAGGAGCCTGTCTTAGTTCAGCTGCTATAAGAGAATACCATAGACTGGGTAGCTTGAACAATAGAAATTTATTTCTCACAGTCTGAAGGCTGGGAAGATCTGGTGTCTGGTGATGGCCCACTTGCTGGCTTGCAGATGGCCATCTTCTCATTGTATCTTCACATGGTGGAAAGAGAGAACATGCTAGCTCTGTCCCTTTTCCTATAAGAACATTCACCCCGTTCCTGGGGGCTCCACTCTCATGACCTAATTACCTCCCAAAGGCCCCACCTCCTAATACCATCCTATTGGGGGTTAGGTTTCAACATATGAATTTTGGAGGAACATAAACATTTAGTCCCTAACAGCCCTGAGAAATAGCAGCATTTAAGCATGGCCTGAAGAAGGGAAGCCTCAGGAGGAAACTGAGAAGTGTCCAGAGGCAAGTGAGGACTGCCAGGTGTCTGGAAATCCATGAGGCCCTCTTTCCAGTGGAAGCAATGCCTCCAGCTCTGACTCAGGGCACGCAGAGCAGAATGGCCGTGGCTTTGAACTCAGTGAAAGCTCACACCTATTTGGGCTCAGGTTCTCTACCCTCTAACCTACCCCCCTCTGCCTCTTCTCTTCAGAGAGTCGCTGATCATTCAGAATCCTGTCCTAATTTTATTCTCCCCCAGTAACAGGAATCCACAGTAAAATGAGCATGTAATTTCCTTCAAGAGACGAAGGGCCGTGTCCTGATAAAACTAACACATTCTTTTTTTTTTTTTTTTTGACATACAGGATAGCCCATTCTCAAGGCTCTGACCTTTATTTATTTATTTAATAAAATATTTATTTATTTTTGGCTGCACTGGGTCTTTGTTGCTGTGCACGGGCTTCCTATAGCTGCGGCGAGCGGGGGCTATTCTTCGTTGCGGTGCGTGGGCTTCTCATTGCGGTGGCTTCTCTTGTACGGAGCATGGGCTCTAGGTGCGCGGGCTTCAGTAGTTGTGGCACGCAGGCTCAGTAGTTGTGGTGCTTGGGCTCTAAAGCACAGGCTCAGTAGTTGTGGCGCACAGGCTTAGTTGCTCCATGGCATGTGGGATCTTCCTGGACCAGGGCTCGAACCCGTGTTCCCTGCATTGGCAGGCGGATTCTTAACCACTGTGCCACCAGGGAAGCCCCACATTCTTTTATGACTAAAAAAAAGGAAACGGATAAAATCAAGAATGGAAGGAAACCATAAGACATTAAAAAGTGGTTGTCTCTGAAATATGGGTCACAAGTTGTTTGTGTTTTCATTGTTATTGTTTTCCCCCAAGAGTTCATAGTATTTTCTTCCAAGAGTACGTAGTCCATTTAAAATCTGAAAAGGAGTCTTTAAAGTTATGTTTACATGGGAAAGGCTGATATAAAGGCTGAACAATTATGTTAACTTTCGTCTTAAATAAACAGTTTACCAAAGTCAAACTAGACATTTGGGAATCATGCACAGATTTAGCAATTGATGTAGGTTATTTGTCAGATGTCTGAATTTTTGAAACCATTTACATTATAAATCCATGTCTGAGAAATAAGAATCCGTAAAGAATACCTGAAAACAGACCATTGTGTGTTCAAAAGATCCAGGGCAACCTCTTGGAGGTTATGCTGTTTGGTTCTGAGCAAGGGTCTGCCAGGATAACGGTCAAGATGACCACATACAGCTGTGCAGGTTTGCGCACTGAACAACTCCAGGGGGCACCCTTTACTTATAATGCAATATGAATGGAATCTGTAGAAATGAGCAGTATACTACCTACCTGAACAAGTGATAGACCTAGTAATAAGCAAGTGACATTTTAAAGACCTAACCCTGTCCCCTGCCAGAATGTTAGATCTTATTAATGGAATCTGTTACCAAAGAGTCAGCTATGAAAAAATTATAAACCTGCAAACTGCTCCAAATGTAAGCAGTCTAGGAAATTCTGTGAAGTATTTGCTGGTGCCATAGACTATTATGATAAGAGTATAAAAGGGCAATTAGTTAACACCTTTTGTTTTATTCACTAAGGGCCAGTCTCAGTTTCCAGGAGAAGTGTGTCTCACGTGCTAAGCAAGGAAGGAGGTGGAAACATCTCAGTCATTGTGCTTGGGGGTGCAGAGGAATCACTGGATGCCCATCCTGGAAAGTTCACTCTGTTCATCCGCCAGCGGAAGGGATTTGTGAAAATTGCTCTGACCCATGGGTAAGTGGCTTTTCATTTCAGGCAACTGGGTCAGGGAAGTTAACACATTATTAAATGAACACAAAGAAGTAAAGTAATTTTTCTGGCCCTTAAAGACGGAGCTCCTAATCGGCTTCCCAATGAAAGCAGATGTGATGTTTATGGGGAATGAAATACAACCTTCCCACTAAGGTAACTCAATGTCATGGCATCCAGCAATTCAACTTGTCTATAAGAGGAAAACCAAAAAACACAAAATTTTATATGCACAGTATAAACCCCCAGCCAAATGAACAAATGAACCATGGCCAAAACCACAGATGACAAAGAAGCTTCCTGGAACCTTGATTTTCTATAGAATAAAATTCCACAAACCACTAAGACTGCTGAGGTACCTCCCCAAAGGACCTCAAGTATAAGTCAGTTTCAATGTATGGAACAGGAACTTAGCGCTATAGGGAGGCTTGGGAACATTAAAGAATTGTTAGGACTCTGTTGCAAAAGTCAGCTGGGCTAAATGAAATATTTAAATCCTTTTCATTGAAAATGCTTATTCTTCCTCCTTGTTATTTGCAGTGCTTATTTGGTGCCAGTGTTTTCTTTTGGTGAAAATGAACTATTTAAACAAGTTAGCAACCCTGAAGGCTCATGGCTTCGAGCTGTGCAGGAGAAACTACAGAAGATCATGGGATTTGCTTTGCCACTGTTCCACGCCAGAGGAATTTTTCAATACAATTTTGGCCTAATGCCCTATAGGAAGCCCATCCACACTGTTGGTATGTACATCAAAGACTCGAGGCTTGTTAAACTGAGTAAAAAGGATTACCTTACTTTGAGCTATGTTTATTGTTACTGAAATAGCTTTGAGTAAGAACTTCCTAAAATAATAATCCTATAGGTGTTATTTGAGCTTCATTTACAGTCTGCCTTTTATTTACGAAATGACTATGTTTTCCATTTGAATGGGAATCAATTATTTTAAAAATATTGCTATTGAACTACAAATAGAATTCAATTTTAGAAATAGAATTTCTAATACTCTAGGATGAATCTATTTCTCTGTACTAGCAGATTACAACATAGCAGTTCTTTGAACATGTTACATCAGAGTCTATTAATATGTGGACATTTCTGTGTAATAGATGTCTTCATCATGTTCAGTTCACATAGGCATCAGTTCATACGGCAAAAGCATTTTTTCCCCAACTAGATACATGTGTCCTAATATAGACTGATTTTATCTTTAAAAATGGCACATGTGGGAGGATTAAAATGGGGGAGGATGATGACGACGACATTAACCCCAAACACCTCATTTATCCCTCCCCCCGTCCTTTACCCTTTGGTAACCATAAGTCTGTGGGTCTATTTCTGTTTTGTAAAGAAGTTCATTTGTATCTTTTTTTTTTTTAGATTCCACATATGAGCAATATCGTATGGTATTTGTCTGTCTCTGTCTGGCTCACCTCACTTAGTATGATCATCTCTAGGTCCTTCCATGTTTATAGCTCTGGTTTTTACTTAATGCCTGTCAAGCATGCATCTCTCTCTCTTTTTTTTTTTTTTTTTTTTTGTGGTACGCAGGCCTCTCACTGTTGTGGCCTCTCCCGTTGCGGAGCACAGGCTCCGGACGTGCAGGCTCAGTGGCCACGGCTCACGGGCCCAGCCGCTCCGTGGCATGTGGGATCCTTCCGGACCGGGGCACGAACCCGTGTCCCCTGCATCGGCAGGCGGACTCTCAACCACTGCGCCACCAGGGAAGCCCAAGCATGCATCTCTTAAAGACTCAGAACAAAAGAAAATTGCTTCAGTGCATCCTTCCACTTACCCCCCAAACGATTACATCAGAAACACCAATTCTAGTCTCTAGCATCCTCAGAATCCTGCTATTATGTGAAAGCCTTTTAAAAACCAAGCTAAGGATATGCATGTTTCATAAAGACTCAGCTGCATGCTCTTATGGTGGTCAGGTGGGAGCCAGATGGCTGAGAGCAGCCTGGTTTGTGTGAACCAGACCCTCAGACAATGTGTATTTAAAGACTTTTATTTACTTGGAGAAACACAAGTTAGGGCTAAGTTATTTACAGTTCCATAAACAAAAGCAAAAGCTATGTATCATTCACTTGCGCCAGAGAATAAAACACAATATGATATTGAAACCATGATCTAAGTTGCTATGCTCATTTCTGTTTTAAATCAGTGCACTTCAAACCCAGAGCTGTTTCTCTGCTGACTCCCTGACACACCCCAAGCAGAATTCAGGCAGCGTCCAGAGTGGCAAGTTACTTTGGGGTCCTTCTGCTCCCCCTTCTACTTAATTAAGAGTTTGTTAACTCTACCTTGCATCACAAGGACTCATTAAATATTAGTTGAATTCACCCTAAATCATTACTGCATCTATAATCCTCTCACTCCCAGGTGTCCAGAGATGCTCTGATTTTCCATCCTGTAAATAGTTTTCCCCCATGTCTCTCAGACCCCACTTCATCAGCAACTTCAACCAGAGCATTCATTTTTTAAAAATAGATTTATTTATTTTAGGCTGCGTTGGGTCTTTGTTGCTGTGCCCGGGCTTTCTCTAGTTTAGGCGAGTGGGGGCCCCTCTTCATTGCAGTGTGCGGGCTTCTCACTGCGGTGGCTTCTCTTGTTGCAGAACGTGGGCTCTAGAGCGCGGGCTTCAGTAGTTGTGGTATACGGGCTTAGCTGCTCCGCGGCATGTGGGATTTTCCTGGACCAGGGCTCGAACCCGTGTCCCCTGCATTGGCAGGCGGATTCTTAACCGCTGCGCCACCAGGGAAGTCCCCAGAGCATTCATTGTAGTGTGAGCAAGATTCACTAAGATTCACTAGGACTGTAATGGTTTTGTCTGTTAATGTCCTGTTAGTTAAAATCCCTTTAAAAATGTGCTCTGGCTAATTCTAAGGTGCCATCACCAGTCTCTGCATATTTCTTACACCAAACTTTGCTAAACCATCAGGTTTCTCTGCATCCTCCATCAAGACCTTCTTTCCTCTTTCCTGAGGGTCATTCTCAATGGACATAATTTATAAAGAAGCTACCATATATTTTCTTTATGTGTCACAAATAGTATGTCATTTATATATTTTCTCCGGGTTATTATCAGTTTATCCAAGTACAATAAAATGTTCACATAGATTATATTTTATTACATAATAATGGAGAGAAACTGATTTCAATGTCACATCCATCATGACAACTGGGAGAGAAAAAGGAAATGAGTTTAGACTTTAAGAACAGTGTGTACAGGGTCCAGTTCCTTGCAAGAATGTTGCAAGGAACTAACTAAAGACTAATTTGTTGATTCACAAATGTGTCTTGAGCTCCTACCCTGTGGGCACTGAGAATATAGCAGAGAACAAATAAGGCAAAATCCCTGCCCTCCTGGAGGTCTGTGATGCAGAAACAAACAAACAAAAGCAACATTCTTGCAAGGAACTGTGACTCTTTACACACTGTTCTTAAAGTCTAGTCTTTAGTTAGGCCTGTCTGATTATAATTCTTAAGTTTTCAGAAATAGAACAAGTACATATTAAAATTTTTTAAGATGAATTTACTATTAAGTTCAAGTCGTAGAGCCAGTACAGGTGGTATGACAGAAAGTTGTTTGGGTAAGAAAGTAAAATACAAGGGAAACTTGTTATTTAAAGGAGGAAATTTCACGTGTCCTAGTATGTGTTGGATTTAAGTTTTAAAATGTCATGTTGAAAAATTTCAAATGTTCAGAAAAGTCTCACGAGTAGTAAAACGAACTCCTGTGTGCCTTTCTCCTAGACTCACCGGTTAACGTTTTTGCTACGGTTTTTCTCTCTCTCTAATGGTATCATAAATACACCTTTTACTATTGTTATTGCTGAACTGTTTAAGTGCAAACAACATGACCATTTGTTCCTAATTACTTTTATGTCTATTTTTTAAGAACAAGATTATTCTCTTTTATGTCAGTACAATTCAGGAAATTGAACATCGATTAAATGCTATTAACTAGTGTACATGACATACTCAAATTTCGTCAGTTGCCACAATAACATTCTGTTTAGCTATGTGTTTTGGTGGGGGGCAGTTTTTTTTCCCATAGCAGGATCATACATTGCATTTAATTTTCACTTTCTTTAGCCTACTTTAAGCTGGAATAGGTTTTCGACTTTTCTTTGTCTTTATAGCATGAGCAGTTTTAAGGCGGATAGCGTGATCGAATCAATGATGTCTACAACTTACTCTCAAATGGTTCTACAAAAATAAAAATAATAATACATGTGTATATACATATCGTGTGTGTGTGCACAAAATGTTTACAGCTGGTGAGTCTAGAGGAAGAGCATGCAAGTGCTCTTTGTATTATTTTTTTCTATAGGTTTGAATTTTTTTGTTTGTTTGTTTGATAAAAAGTTAGGGAAGGGAATGTACCTTATTTAAATAAAACTGGTTTGGAACCACTTGAGGACAAAAGTAGTCCATTTTGTTTCAAGTCATTATTCTATCCTAATGGGAAAAAAAGCAGGCTAATGGATTTTCTGAAATAGAAAGGAAGGAAGGGGAACCTAATTTAAATTTTAATTGTAAAGTAGGAATTAAAGGAGGTAATAATAAAGGAATTAGTATGGTGCCCAGTACAATGTACTAAGTGCTCCGTAAATGTTCATGAGTGTGTGTGTGTGCATATGTATACACACTTATATACACATATACTTACATTGGGCGTCTTCTGAGACTCCATCCTAAGCCAGAGGTTTACTTGAACCCAGGTTTTGACTCTTCCCAAATCCCACTCTGCCCAGCTCTCTGCCTGGTCTCTCTCTTGTGTATGGCTATGTAGCATCTAAAGAAAGAGCAATTCCTATGTGAGACCATTAGAGAGAGAGAAAACTGCAAAATGTTCACAATTACAGAGAAATAGAAAAAAGACTCCTTATTGTGAAATACCTACTCTTTGCCTCAGTGAGAAGAAAATAACTCGCATCTCCAAGCTCTTCTCCAGCTGCGAATACAACAGCTCGTGAAGCTGCTTATTCTTCATCTAGGTAAATGCAGCACAGCGTCACAGGAGTTAGAGCAAGCCTGCTGTGTAAGGCAATAAAGACATAACTAATCCTGAATTGTTGGATGGAATTGAAAAGGGAACAAAGGAGCATGCCAGCTATAAAAAGCACCGAAACATAAACAAGAGCTAAGATTCCTGACTCTGCCACAAGTAGATGTTAGCTGACTTTTCCAGGGCAAGGAGTTCTACCCCCAGAGCAACCTGATGAAGCTGGTTTTTCCTTTGTGTTATAAAAAGGGAGTCAGGCAGCAGTCTGCAACTAACCCAGTCTTATGTGGAAAACAGCTTTCTTCTCCTTGATAGTAAAAAAATCTCCTTTTTGTGGAGAGAGGGAACTCTGGTCTTCTAGGGCTCTGGGGACCCTTCTCAGATTTGCAAGTTTTTGTTTTGTTACCTCTGTCTGTATCCCTAAAAAGTAATTGAGAAAGGTTCTTACTCTCTAATCCAATTTTGGGTTAGTTTAGTAACGAGGGGCAGAAGTGCTGGGTTTAAATCTTCATTTCCTTTGGTTTTTGTTTGTTTTTGTGTATGTGTATATATAGTTTAGAAACTTTCAGCATCTCAGTTTCTTTGTGGGTAAATAAGAGAAAGACAAGTATGACTGTGTTTGTCTCACAGTTTAAAGGGAAAAATCTAATGATGCTAAATTCAATTTGTATGAGCATGTTTGAGCTCTCTGGAAGAACTATCTGAAATATAATAAAACCATTAATAGGAAAAGAATAGGATTGGAATTAACTGTAGGATATCTCAGGAAATAAGACTCAATAATTCAGAATTCACAAGCCCTATTGAAGTAAGCTGGGAACAACGCTCTTCATCTTCTTAGACCTTTATCTCTTCTTAGACCTTCTTATCTCTTTATAAATCCCCCTTCCCACCCAGAATAGTTGCACTTAACCTGTCTCCTTGGGATAATTTCACTAAGAAAACAGAAGCTATTTCTATAACACCACAAATTGGCTAGTAGATTTGCAGGTAGAGTTCTCAATGAGCACGTAAATTTCTCAGTTTCTTTCCTCAGACAACAACAAAGATCAGAGCTGGATGGAAGCTTCAAGGTTGCCTACTCTTTTATTCCATACATGTGAAAATTAAGGCCAGAGAAGAAGTTACTTACTAGCTCCGTGTACCTGCTGGTGAGCTAGCACTGGATCTGGTTTAGCCTGGTGCTTCTTGTGCAACACCAGCCCCCAATTCCACCCCATCATTTCAGCCTCTCCTAGTCTGTATTTCAACCACAAATGACATGAGAGTTCCCTGGCCATTCCGTGGTTAGAACTCAGTGCTTTCACTGCCTTGGGCCTGGGTTCAATCCCTGGTTGGGGAACTGAGATCCTGCAAGCTGTGTGGCAAAAAAAAAAAAAGTCAACCACACTGACAGCGAGATAGTTATGTTAAATTACAAAGGACTGACGTCTACTATGTATGTTTGACATCCAAACTTTCAAGGAAAACTGTATAGGAGCTTCTTGAGGCTATATATGGTTAAAAACTTAGCAATTTGAGAATACTAATGTTGTGATAAGGAGATTATATATCTATACATAGGATATATAGATTATGTGTAACATTGTATATAAATATAGATAGATATAGATAGATATCTTCTTAATATATAATATATTATAATATATGTGTGTGTGTTTGTGTGTATACATTCCCTTCTCTGTGCTCCCTTACCTCCCATACTATTGTCACACTTCCTTCTACTGTTATTTATCACTTCCTTCTTTCTCTGGTACCTTCTTAACTAATCACCTTTTGTTACTAACATGGATCGAACCTTGGATGTAGCATGGGGAGACTCCGGGTGGGCAAAGGAGGCCCTGCGAGTGCCATTCTGTTACCTACAGCCCCATTTGACCTCATGCCCAAGCTAATCAAATGTAGTAAGCAGTTTGCCGTTCATTGAACATCCTGTACATTTTCAACTCTTGGCATCGGTAGCAGCATCAGGCCAGCAGAGGTCGCAATGAGTAGCAGAGAGGACTGAGGGCAGCAGGAGGTGGAGCCACGTATATCTAGTCTCTCAAAATCTGACACAAGTGAGATAAAAGTTATTTATTATATAAATGCCTTAAAATACATGTAGAAATTGCTAGGTTTTAAAAAATTAATTAGTTCATTTTTAATTATACAGATAACACCAGTGCCTTCTCATTGTAGAAAATTCATACAATACAGATAAAATATAAATTCCCCCAGCTCTACCTTCCTCCCTCCAGGTAAGGGCTATCAGTGTACCTTGTAGATTTGCTTAGTGCACTAAAGGCTTATAATGCACCTAGATAGAGAAATTTTTAATAAATAGGATCATACTATGTTATTTTACAACTTTTCCCCACCTACAACATTTTAGACATCTCTGTGTGTGTACACACATATTTCATTTTTTAAATTGAGATATAATTGCAAATAACAGTTAGCTTCAAGTGTTGATTTGATATTTGTATATATTGTAAAATGATCAGCACAATGAGTCAGCATAAACAGTTACAAAAATATTATTTAGTTTTAAAAAAAATTGCTGCCTAGGATTCCACTGAATGAATGGTCGTGGTTTATTTAATGTTTTTTTCTATTAAGACTTTTGGTTGGTTTTGTTTTCCACCATTACAGACAGTGGAATCCTTGTGATTATGTATGTTTTCTGGTACAGATACTTAGCAGTGAAGATATATATTCTTTTCATTTTTTTAGGATGACATTAAACAGAGCCAGAATAGAGGGCTGTTGCCTCATGAGTTAAGATTTCCCAGGCAGTGATAATAGAGCACTGTGGTCTGGCTGTCAGCTGTACCAGAGGAGCGAGCTGCTGACGTGCACACACAGCAATGTCCTCTTATCTCCCAGCTGCAGCCAGCACAGTAGTTCATTTGACTCAAAGTCAAAACCACAAGCGTCCTGACAATCCAGCGTCTGCTGAGAAGGAAAGCTCTTTATTTGCTACCAAAAGAGATGGTGTGACTACGGCAGGCAGCCAGTAAAATGAAAAAGGGATGGGAGCTGGCAGGCCTGACAGATTCTGATTGGGAGATCTTTCTAGGGCTGTCCATTAGAGGTGGTAGTTTGTGGTGGAGTGGTTTTGATTTCTTATGTATGATGTATTCTCTGTTTTTGCAGTTGGCCGCCCAATCCCTGTTCGTCAGACCCTGCACCCAACCCCAGAGCAGATTGAGGAGTTGCATCAGACCTATATGGACGAGCTAAGGAAATTATTTGAGGAGCACAAAGGGAAGTATGGTATTCCAGAAAATGAAACTCTCATTTTTAGATAACTCTCCTCCTCGAAGGCATGCAAGAGGGTGAGAGAATATCCCATTGAAAGAACAAATATTTTAAATAAATTAAATTTTTTCTTTGGTGAAGGAATCAGATTTGCAACTGAGAAGTATTATGTATGGTGACAGATGTTGACGTTTATCTATGGTAACTAAAAATCCAGTGGGTGACTATAGGGTAAGGTTGGAGATGATTATCAGCCTTTTAATCGTCTTCCTCATTTAGGAAGGTAAAAATTATTTTACAGGTTAAGAAAAGGTTTAGAATTATTCACGTGCGGGACTTCCCTGGTGGCGCAGTGGTTAGGGATCCACCTGCCAATGCAGGGGACTCGAGTTCCAGCCCTGGCCTGGGAAGATCCCAGATGCCGCAGAGCGACTAAACCTGTGCGCCACAACTACTGAGCCTGTGCTCTAGAGCCCATGAGCCACAACTACTGAGCCCGTGAGCCACAACTACTAAAGCTTGCGTGCCTAGATCCCATGCTCCGCAACAAGAGAAGCCACTGCAATGAGAAGCCCACGCACCACAGCAAAGAGTAGCCCCTGCTCGCCACAACTAGAGAAGGCCTGTGCGCAGCAATGAAGACCCAACGCAGCCCAAAAAAACCCCAAAATTATTCATGTGCTTAAAAAAAATGACAGCTTCAAAAAAAATAATTAGACACCTTTACTAAATATTACAATAACTTAATGTGGCATTTTCACTGAATATGACAGCTGTTGTTCAGCACAACTGGAACATTTATGAGACAGTGTGTAAAATAACTTGCCATGTAGAACTGGAGGACATCATTTTTTTTTCTGCTTGAACAGACCATTTATTAGTGAATAATGTTACTTTTAAGACTTAGATAATTTGATCCTTTAGGTCATATCAACCAACGCATTTTTATACAATATTGCAGAATTTTAATGCCGTTTTGGAAACAGGATGAATCTACCATATGGAAACGCATGTGGATGAGAGCATGTCTTCTCTTTTCTAATTATGCTTAGAAATATTCATTGTTGCCATTTGCTTAGAAATATGTTCATTTGCTACAGGTAAGGAGGTCTTTTGGAAGACATGCTTTGGACGGGTTTTAAGACATTGAAATTCCAAAAGGTTTTCACAGTAAAAGGAGGGGTTTTAATTGTCTTCCAATATGGCCTCTTCGAGTAAGATGAGCTCTGAGAGACAGCGCCCTCTGGAGAGATGTGACCAGTTCACCGTTGACTCGGGTTATATGATTCTCCCTAAACCAGAATGTCAGGTCCGGGAGGGCGGGATCCTTGTCCTTCCTGTTCATGGATGTCTCCTTAGCGCCTGGGTCAGCTCATGATACATAGTAGGCATGAAATAAGTACTTGCTGAATGGGCGTATTTCTAGGTGAACACACAAACCTTGCCATAGGTAAAGAATTTTTTTAAGCTGTACCATAGTATGAAACCTATTCTAAGAAAAGAGGTACTTTCCGACGGAGGTAATTTATGTGTGATTGTCCCATGCCAGTAATTGACAGTATCGCAGGCTTGGTTTGTAAAGTATCTCAGGCTTGGTTTGTAAAGAGCAAGTTGAGGAGGGTTTCTGAGGATTAGTCACTAAGCATTAAGTAATTATCCAATAAGTAAGAAGAATATCTAGTTTTCAAGTGATCTCCACTGCCACATGTCTTTCTATACCTCCTCCACTCTCAGTATTTGGGGGCAACTTTATTGAGTTGTTCTAACTTACTGTTAATACGTGTTAAAACCCCTAATTTTTAAAACATCAGGCCCTGGGCTAGAGCCTGGATTGGGTGTAGCAACAGCAAAACACAGTCATGCTGGGTAATGCCGTGAGTAGAAAAGCATTTCACACACGAAAAAGGGAACCTTCTCAATTGTTCTATAGAAGACTTTTAGGCCAGCATCCCTTTGGCTTCATATGGTTGAGCAGTCCAGGAGGCCACTGACCCAAGGCCTTAAAATTAGATCAGTTCTTTTCTCAAAGCAGGGAATAGGGCACATCCTATTTTATTCTCTCTCTCTCTCTTTTTTTTTTTTCTGGCCTCTCCTTGTGGCTTGCGGGATCTTAGCTCCCCGACCAGGGGTTGAACCTGGCCTCTGGCAGTGAAAATGCCGAGTCCTAACCGCTGGACCTCCAGGGAATTCCCAGGACACATCCTATTTTAATAGATGCGGATAATTTGACGATAAATCCTTTTTGGTATTATTCAATACCAAACAAATGTAAAAGGAGCACCATTTACATAAAACTATGCCCTAGCCGGTCAGGGGTAAGTCTTTCTGACAGAGCTGTGAGGCCCAAGTAACCACAACAAGTAAAGGCCTTTAAGTATTATAAAATCCATGAACTTCATTCCTTTAGAGAAATTTATGAAAATCTCATGACACAGTCTTTTGTGATCTCACAAGGTATGAATTTTAATCTCACACTCAGTAGTGAGGGGGCCAAGATGACCACCAACCTCCACTGGTTTGTCTAGGAAGCAGTTAAAGCCCATGTGTGGAAAGCAGAGGCCCTGAAAACTGGGAAAAGTTCTGCTCTGATGAATTTATTTAGAATTATGCCATTTAAAAAATCTAGACATCAGCAACTTTAATTTTGGCATACATAAAATCTTATTTTCAGGTACGTATTAGGGAGTTGATCTCCAGAGGTCCTAATCCAGCAAAGCCAGAAGTCCTTTCATAAACTCAAAGCATAGTTGTAAGTTCCATACAGTCCTACAGACTGCAAATGAATATATGTGTATTTTTAAAATAAATTTATTTATTTATTTATTTTTGGCTGTGTTGGGTCCTTGTTGCTGCGTGGGCTTTCTCTAATTGCGGTGAGCGGGGGCTACTCTTCATGGCGGTGCGCAGGATTCTCATTGCGGTGGCTTCTCTTGTTGCGGAGCACGGGCTCTAGGCGCGTGGGCTCAGTAGTTGTGGCTCCCGGGCTTAGTTGCTCCGCGACATGTGGGATCTTCTCGGGCCAGGGCTCGAACCCGTGTCCCCTGCATTGGCAGGCGGATTCTTAACCACTGCGCCACCAGGGAAGCCCGCAGATGAATATTTTTATAGGAATTTTTGCTACAACACAAACGTGAGCCATATATTGTATTCACTAGTATGGTTAGATGGAGATCTCCTCAACTGTAAAGCTTCTCATCTAATATATAATTGCATGTAAAATTTAAACAGCAAAACAAAATAACAAGAACAACAGCAACAACAGAAATAACCCCAGAACACCGGAAGAGAAACTGGGCAGATTGCCTTAAGAAAATGTGCATTTATGCTATTTGATTTGGACATCCCTTTCTCCTGTTTCCTTTGCACACCAGGTGCAGGCTGAGTCATTTCCTTTGTCTTGCAGCTAGAAGTATTGAAATTGTCCCTACCCAGCTAGGTCTGTGACGTTCACAATGAGGTTTGCAGCTTTGGTGCTTATGAAAGCCAACCAGTTTTGCTCTGTCTCAAGGGGAACCAGGGCAAGGGATGCTGTGTGATTTATGCAAACCCTTCACCATGACTGTGAAAACAGTCAAAGTCCGTATAAATCAGGGGTGATGAGTGAGCCTTTATTATTTGTGTAGGGTTAAAAGTAAAATCCCTACTTCCAGTAGAAGGTACATTTCTGTCAAGGGAAGCACAGGAGGTGGAATCTAGATTCAGTGCCCTTACTTCTGTAACTTTGCGTCTCTTCCAAACTACCTCGCTGGTGCAGACTGCCAAATTGGTGATAAATCTGAAAACATGTTTGTGGTGCATTATCTTTGTCTTCTTTTCCTCTGAAACAGGAGAAAATGTTGATGGGATCTGTCAGTTGGTTGCTTTTCTCCAATAGCCCAAGTTTTCTAGTTCTCATATATATATATATATATATATATATATTTTTTTTTTTTTTTTTTTCTAAGCTAGGTGATAACATGTCTATTTGTGGGGCTGGGAGAGTTCCTTCTAGTAGAATTTGTATATCTTTTTACAGGGGAAAAACAAGGCAGTGTCGAAATAACCAAGTAGTTGCTGCTGTTTCTCTAGGATGGTAAACACAGAAGCAGTTCTTTATATTTAAAACAGAGGGATTTCTCTAATGCCTTGTATTGGGTTGACCAAAAAGTTTGTTCCAGATTTCAATGTTACGAAAACCCGAATGAACTTTTTGGCCAGCCCAATATTTTAGTTATTTTAATTACTCCTTCCCAAACACCATCAGCTTAGTGCCTTAATAATCTTCTATGAGAAGAAGAAATTTTATCTCAATCCATAGATAACCCATGGGGTGATGAGTTCCTCGGTGGTAGAAACTGTGCCTTGCGTGTGTTTCCATCCTGGCCCAAAGAGAGCAGACTTCTGCCATCTCTCCGTGAATGCTTGAGGCATTGACCAGGAAGTTTGATGGATGGTGCCGTGGAAGCCCAGTTTTAGAGCTAGAAGGGACTTCATAGTCTGTCACATATTTCTTCTGCAGATGAAGCAGTTGAACCCCAGTGAGGTTTAATACGCATTGGAACTGACCCCATGTTCCAGATTGAACAGGAGGTACTGCTATTCTGTGACTGTCGATTAATAAACCCAGGAATCCTCCTATAAAGCAAAAGTGTCAAAGAAGTAGAGTACGATGAAAAATACACTTAAGGCAAGGAACTTAACAACTCTGCAGCAAGCTCTGTCTTATTGGTATTAAGAACGTTTTCCTTTCTTGAGATCAGCACACCGCATTGTTGACTTTTCCTTTTTGCAAGAGCTATTTTGGTGATGTGTCCTGGGCAAAGCCCAAGTTTCACAACAGGCTTAGCCACTGGAGCCTTATATAGTGGTGCAGCAGGATGGGGCAAGCTGCCTCAGGCCCGGGGCGGGTGACAGAACCTCAGACAGGGGAGCAAGCAGAGCTTCTACCACCTCACAGTCTGCTCCAAGCCCCAGTCCATTTTGGTGTCAGCCTCCTCCAGCTGGCTTGTCACAGCTGCTTTTTTTTTTTTTTTTTTAATAGCTCTTAGATTCTGGTTACGAATTATCTTAGGCTCTCTTGAGAATAAAGATAAATCCGACCTTCCTTGTATTCCCAAAGGCATTGGGAATTGGCGTGATTCTCTCCTATTCCATTTCCAAACCAGCTTGGAGCTTAAGGTCTTGCTGGTTGGATTTCAATCCCTCTTTTATGGGGATGCAGTCATGTTGAGACAACCAGAGAAAGTAACTATCCCATTCTTTTCTGCTCTCCGGGCTTCTATGTTCAAATCGTCCTTTAGCCTCTGGCCTTCCACTAATTGGCTGTGTGACGTGGGCTCGGTGGCTTCCTATGTAAATAGAGTTAGGAGTGAATGATCTCCTAGGTTCCTT